AATTTATAAAGGGTGACAGCCCCAATTCCTAATGACGGCATGGATTTTACCCCCTCTGTGCCTGTAAACTTTGACTAAATGGGAGACAACTCTTCTCCCAAAAACCAGGAATTACAGAATTCTATTCCACCAAACCCAGGATGGAATGGGTAGAGGAGATTAAATTAGTTCCCATTATATTTGGAAATTCAAAAGACAAAGTTTTATGTGGTCATTAGTCTTTTGTATTTTGCATATAAAAGCCTTTTTAAAAATGGATTATTATGGAGAATGTGAATAAACTGAAAGGCAGAGAATTCTTTATTTTCTTGCTTTTAAAGCTTTATTAAAATTTTTCCTCAGTAACTTACAAAACAATGAAATGGGAAGCAAAGGATTAGCTACCCCAAAATGGTCAAAAAGTAATTTCGCCTTATGTCTTATTCCTGCCACATTCCTTGTCCTTGGTGCATCATTAAAGGTTTGGATGGATTTAGTTTTCTTGGGAACTCATTATAATATGTCGTAATTTATAATGATTGGCCTTTATTCTTTTAGTCAAGGTTTCTGAACTTCAAAATGATAAAAAAATTCATTTAAATCAAACTGCAGGAAGGAATTACTTGTATGGGTAGACAAAGATTTAAAGGAAGCAGAGACGTCAACTGTAACCTCAAGTGCATTCTTATTGAATTGTCTTCTTTGGACTACCTCCGGTGTGGTTTCCACTCCGCGCTTACAGTCTGCTCCTTAACAGGTTTCAACCAGGTACCTGATTTCGCTCTCAGGAGCGCTGGCTATTGTTAATGCAGTGCCCTGTTTTGCTTTGGACGGACAGTGGATTTTAAACTCTTTTCTGGATGCCACCCTGACATCAGTGATTGGAGACAATGATGTTAAGGATCTGATAGGATTTTTCATATTGCTTGGGGGCAGTGTGCTTTTGGCTGCCAACGTAACCCTGGGCCTCTGGATGGTCACAGCACGGTAATATTCGTGCTTTCTTCAGAATCTCTGAGTTACAGCATACAGCTCGGTGGTAATATCCCTTGCCATTCGAAGGCTGACTTGTAACTTGGTGTGAAATATAAAGTGCTTCTTTAAAATGACATCTTAGCCAACAGCTTTGAACTCCTCTTAGTTTTAAAGTCTGAGCATACACACTTCAGATGCTACTGAACAATTTCTAAACACCTGAAAATTCAGATAGTGCCATTTCATATGACTATATACTGTGTTGAAATCCAGCAAAGCAGAATAAAATTGGGTGCTTTCAAGTTTCTTGGAAAAGCATTATCGATACGCATTTTGAAGGAGACCAGACTTTTTGACCAAGTAGAAGAGCAAGCATTTTCTTGTTCTGTATCTCTTGTTCTTTGTCTTGTTAGACAAGTATTTTTAAATTTAATGCTGTATTATTTTGTACTTTGAAAACTGAGGCCCGAGTACCCTTAAATTAATAAAGTGCTATCAAAGAGCCTGCTGACGTGAAAGGGAACATCTTTGTCAACTGATGCCAAATAAGCAAAGCAGGAAGTAGGAGGACCTAAGATCGCTGGGGCCACGCTTTGCCCCAGGAGAGTTGCCTCCTTGTGTGGCTCTGCCCTCATAAAGCAGCACTGTCCTTGGCATTCAGCATGAGCTGTGAACAGGTGTCCCACCGTCCGCAGCATGTGAGTTGAGGCCGTCAGGGCTGCACAGCAGAACCTACCCAGGTTTTCACCGGGGTGACGGACTCTCGTACAATCCTGGTTACCAGCGCCTGGAGGGCTTTGCAGCTTGGAACTCTTCCAAGGTATGCTAAAGATTTTTTCCCTTGTGCTGCTGAGGCCTGGCTTTGGGGTGCCTGTCTCCTGGGAGCAACCACCTTAAGCCTTGAGCCACGTGTTGTCTTCACCAGCTGCTCCCCGGTTTCCTGTATCAGGTGATCAAACACCTAGTCCTTGCTTTCCATTTTGTCTGTTTCCTCTGTGGTTCCATGGAAGACTGTAGAACAGTGAGCATAGCCACACGGGAGTATAAACATGAACATGCCCGTGTATGGGAACTGACTCTTGAGCCCAAAAGAGTGATGCCTGGTTTAAGGTCTTTTGGACTGGAGATCTGAGTCTAGCCCTGGAAAACTAGGGAGGTAACAGGCCAGTGTGAAGATACCGGTCTTAGAAGGGTTGAGAAAAATTCATGCTTGCCTCATACGCTCAGAAAGCAAGGAACAGCAGTTATACATTGGACAACCCTTTATCCAACCCTTTATCCGCTGTCATTAAGTGAACTCGTCAATGAGGGGACTAGTATGGTCCTAGAACATAAGGTCATTATAAAACTTTATTACAAATTTGCCTCATTTCTAAAACAAGTTAGAGATTGAATATAATGTGAACATTTTAGTAAATGACTCCGGATCATCCATGAATACCAGTGATCAAACCAGAAAATTGTTTCCAGGACATGATAGCACTTGTTCTCCCCTTAGGAGTGTTTGTTAGCATCATACTGCGCAGGCTTGAGAGCGGGAGAAATGCCGTGAATTATACAGGGGGCTTCCAACAGTTTATGGAAAAATGGAATGAAAAGATAATGAACTTTCCCCCATAAATTTTAAGTCCCCTTGTATATGCATGCCTGTTTTGTTGTTTTTGACATTTTTTCCCCATAGAGGAAATCTATCCATTAACTTCTTTTTCTGGGTTAAAAACAAAACCAAACCCTTCTTTTCTGTCCTCTTCTTTTTTTTAAATCATTTTATTGGGAGCTCTTACAGACATTATAACTATCCATAATTCAATTAGAACCTATACTGTCTTTTAGCTGTTAAACACCTTGGTCTTGAACTATATACAGGCTGAGAGTTGAGGAAACTGAGTAAATCAGTAGGACTTTGTATAGAAGTGGCCTCATGTCTTAGATAAAGACAGTGTTGCATGTTTGTCTCTTCCCCTTGCTTGTAGACATTTCTTGAGGGTGGACCCTGCCACGTTCATCTTGGAATGCCTGACAGAGCATGAGTGCTTAATAAATGCGGTTGAGTGATGGGGATTAGTGTTATTTATGGAGTAGAAAAGCATGTTTCTATTTAAATATGCTGTTAAATGTAGTATTAGATATTTACTATAAATATATATTAGCACCAAAAAAGTATCTTGAAAGGTTGTGTGTCCCTCATGGTGTGTTAATGTCTTTATGGACATGATCCATCTTTGTTTCTGCAAAGTGCTTAGAAAAATTTCCTCCTTTTGAGGATTTGAAGAAAGTATGCTTTCTGAGTTGTGATATGGTTTATTATCAGTGTTTCTACTCTGCATTGTTTACATCTTCAAGGGTTGGTGGGTTTTGTTTTTGCAATCACCTACAATCTTAAAAATACATACCTATTTTTCATCAGCTCCGTTTGAAAAGACATGCAGGTAAACTTGACCTTTAATGCGCTTATAGGTCATTGTCTGTTCTGACAGTAAATTGTAAATGTATCCTTCATAACTATGTGGCCCTCAGTCATTGTGTCCTGTGGTATTTATTGAATGTCTGTATACTAAAGGTGCACAAGTACTAACACCCCCCAAAAAAATACATTTTGACTGTGTTGTAATTCATTCTTAAGCTGTAGATTGATAATGCCATAATTGCTAACATTTGGTGTTTAGCAATAAAAGAATAAATGTACCCGCATTTTATGTTTTCTCATCATCTGTGTGTTGTCTTTTTCTATCAAAATTGTACCCTTTATATAGAGTGAGATCGTAGTTGTTTTTAAAATGATTGATTCCAAAAGCAGGCTTACTTTTCCATCCAGTCCAAAGAGAGAAGCCTTTTAAAAATGAAGTTCTTGTATTCTTGCTACTGTGTAATTCCATGCCACCCCTCTTTGGTCCCATGACTCTCTAGATCCTAGATAACAGACTCCCTGAACCATATTTTAAAGATCTTTGTTGAGCTGTATATATAGGTAATCTCTATATAATACAGCTCACCTGTTTAAAGCGTATGAACTCATTGCAATAACTCATTGTAATGTCTAATCAAATATTAACATAACCAAACCTTTTAAGGAGATGAATATGTGATAAAATACCAATGAAAATAAAAATATGTTTTCCATTATTTCATAACTACCTTCATTATGGAGTGGGTTTTTCAGTACTGGAAAAGTTCAATAACGTTCATTTTTAAGGTAAGGCATATACATTCTTTGAGACAATAAGTCTTCGTAATGAGTGCTCTACAGTGATTTATTTTTGAAGCTGCTATTACTGTTTAGACCATACTAATTTGGACAGTCCATTGTATACTTTATCAGACCATGTCAAATGAATTCAATGAAAGGAAGCCTGTGGTTCAGACTTTACTTTTGTTACAATAGATTATCATCAGGGTGGAGAGAGAAAAATGGTTAAAGGAAGTTGTAAATCTAATTCTGAGCCTTATATTGTGTAATTTATTTTCCCACTAAAGAGAGAACAAAACTTTCTTATATTAAGGTTTTAGTCATCTAAAAATGGGTGGGTATGCAATAATTGTCCCTTTTTATTAACTAAATGATTCTCAGACTTTTCTACCTCCATTTAACCAAATCCCCCAGTAGAAAACTTGATACTGTGCACCATCTGGATTATTATATTTCAAAATAAACTATGTTGTACACCTTTTAATTTGCATTTCTTTAGTTAGAAAAGAGGCAAAAGCTGTCTTTTCTCTTCTTTTTTTAAGTGTTTGGTCTTTTGTAAAGTGCTTATCTGTATCCGTTGCCACCCTTCCTACTTTATTTCCAACATTCTTCTCTTTCCTTCCAACCATTTTGTTTTCATCCTTTAATGGCTTCCAGATTCCATTCTCTCAACTCCCTGCCATCAAGTCAGTGCTGATTAGTAGTGACCCCCCCCATGGGGGTTTCCGAGACCCTAACTGTTTACGGGAAAAGAAAGCCCAGGCTTTCTCCCGTGGAGCTGCTGGTGGTTTTGAACTGCCGGGCATGGGTATTGCAGCCCAGTGCATGAACACTACACCATCAGGCCTCCACAATTTCCTCTCTAGGCTTCATGAGTTCCACAGTGAGAAATAGCGCTTTGCGACTCACAGACTAGCCACTTTTCCAGTTTAGGGCAGTCTTTTCCACTATCAAAGTACCTAAGGAAAGGTTCGTAATCAGAAGAGTTTGCTTGGGGAGTATAGCATTGGTACAAAGAGATAGATAGTATAGAATGTTTATCTTCTGTAGAAGAAATGCTTTAGTTCTTACTGGAAAAAAATTCACCTTCATTATAGAAAACATGCTCAATGGAATTAAATTGTGGTTTGTGGGGAATAGTTGGGTCACATACTCACAGACCACTTTTTAAACTTGACAGTATATTTCAAGCATTTTTCTCATGTCAAAATTCTTCTAATGCTATTTTAGTGACTGCACAATATTGCATTGTTAGGTGTGCCATAATTAAATCTCTGTTACTTCTGGTTCACAATATGACCAACAGAGGTAGGTATGAATGTAGAGTTGATGATCTGAAATGTAAACTCCCCCACCTAATCCATAATTAAAAATAAGCAGGTTTGCAGAATATCTTCATAACTAAATACATCTCTTTGTACATTCATGTTTGTGTGTGTATGTATGTGCGTAATTCTAGAAACTTAAGAAAATGCTAGAAGAAAAATTGCTACCTTAAAATGTGAACCCTCCCTCCCTCATAAACTCTTGATAATTTATAAATTGTTATTATTTTTTCATGTCTTACACTGACTGATGTATCCCTTCACCCACTTCTGTTGTCTGTCCCCCAGGGAAGGGGTAATATGTAGATCATTGTGACCGATTCCCACTTTCTCCCCGCACCTTCCTCTTAGCATCCTAGGTGTTGAGAGCTCTTATCTATACCAGTGTTCATGCTCCGGTCTAGCCGGATTTGTAAGGTAGAACTGGGATCATGATGGTGCTGGGAGAGGAAGCATTCAGGAACTAGAGGAATAATGCATGTTTTGGGGTGCTATACTGCACCCTGGCTGGCCGTCCCTTCCTTGTGACCCTTCTGTGAGGGCATGTCCAATTGACTACAGATGGGCTTTGGCCCCCTCATTCATATAGATATGATTATGTGTTTTGGGTCGTCTGATATCTGATCCTGTCAACACCTCATGATCACACAGGCTGGTTGGTGTGCTTCTTCCATGTCGGATTTGTGCTTCCCAGCTAGATGGCCACTTTTTATCTTCAAGCCCTTGCTCATTTTTTATGAAGTAATTATTGTCTTCTTTTTAAAAAATTTATTGTGGGCTCGTACAACTCTTATCACACTCTATACATATATCCATTTTGTCAAGCACATTTGTACATTTATTGCCATCATCATCCTCAAAGCATTTGCTTTCTACTTGAGCCCTTGGTATCAGTTCCTCATTTTTCCCTTCTCTCCCTGCTCCCCCCTCCCTCATGAACCCTAGATAATTTATAAATTATTATTATGTCATATCTTACACTGTCCGACCTCTCCCTTCACCCACTTTTCTGTTGTCCATCCCCCATGGAGGAGGTTATATGTAGATCCTTGTAATCGGTTCCCCCTTTCTATCCCACCTTTCCTCCACCCTGCCGGTATCGCCACTCTCACCACTAGTCATCTGTGGGATCATCTGTCCTGGGGTCCCTGTGGTTCCAGTTCCTATCTGTACATCCTCTGGTCTAGCCAGATATGTAAGGTAGAATTGGGATCATGATAGTGAGGGTGGAGGGTGGAAGGAAGCATTTAGGAACTAGAGGAAAGGTGTATGTTTCATCCTTGCTACCCTGCACCCTGACTGGCTTGTCATCTCCCCGCAACCCTTACCCTGTTTCATCATAAGGTCAGATCTACTGTGAATATTTAAACTT